TGCGTTTTCAGTGTGATCTCACAAAGTTAAAAAATCCCTTTAATGATGTTCTGTCCTGTCTTCCTCTATCAAAAGCACACAAACACTATAAAACATTGTTTCTGTGCTTTGGGGTTTTTGTTTTCTGTAGGCTGCTCACCTACAACCACCTCATGAACATCTTTCCAATGGAGCTTGCTGCCCTTCTCGTGGATGAGGGTCACTGTGATCCTCCGCTGGATCCCCTGCAGCAAACATAACAGGAGCTCAGGATCACAGTGAGAACAGCTAGAGCAACATTACGCTTTAAAAGATATTCAACTGTGTACAAAGGAAGCAGTTACCACTGTACGAGTAATAAGAAAACAACATGTGCACCAATCCTGTACCTGGTGCAGCAGCTAGGTACCATGACAGGGCAGGCCTCCACTGTGATCCACGATGGCTGGGATGTACCTGTGCATGGAGGGAGGAGGTGACACAACATCCCAACTTATAATATTCTTCGTGGAGATAATTTTTATGGTTCCTTTAAAGCTTGTGCGTGAATATAACACTCCAGGTGGATACTCACTCTCCAGTGGGCTCCAGCTCGCTGATCTCAAACCAGACCAGCAGGTCGTACTTGCTGACACACTGACCCAGGTTGGATTTGGTGATGGTGTTCAACTTGGTGGCTGCAACTGCCACACACACACACACACACACACACACACACACACACACACACACACACAAGCTCAATGTTATCAAGCTCAATGTTAAGAGAAGATGAATAAAAGTGAGGAGTATTTACTACATGCTTTGGGTGACTAAAAGGAGGATGGATAGGTGACATGAAAACACTACTGACCCTTTATACTGAGCCAATAGCTCACACACTTCTATTAAATCTGTCTAAAGAGCCAGTAATCACAGAGGATAGATACTGGAAACAAACTGAAATGTTAGGAGGAACTAAATCACACATTACAACACCAGTGGCAGCACCCTGCTGTCTCACACATCAGGTCCTCATGGTCCTGTTGAAACGGGCTAATCGCTAAAGCTCACAGTTGCATTCCTCTATACTCAATATGATCGAAAAAACTATTTTAACAAACAATTAAAAAATGAACAAGTAAAATATCTACTATAGCCAAAAGAAGACCATTTACAGACTATAGCGCTGTGAACAAGTATTTGCCTCCTTTCTGCTTTCGTATCTTATTCCATATTTGTCACACTTACACGTTTCAGATCAATACATTTATAACATTAGACAAGAACGTGTTAGGATGCCTGGGTCATTGACCCAGGGTTTTGAGTTTATTATATTATTGATCATTTCCAGTCTTTGGTTTCTTTGAGTTCTGTCTTATGGTTTATGTCTCTGTGTTCTCTAGTTGCTCTGTCTCCCCTGTCAGCTGTATCCCCTTGTCAAGTTCGCGTCTCTGTGTTTTGTTTCCTGTTTTACTTTGAAAGTCGGTGTCTCATGTAAATGCGTCTGGTTTTGCTTCCTTTGTCTCGTTAGGCCTGATTTGCCCCAGCTGTGTTTCCCTCCTGTTACCCATTCCCTGATTGCTCCCTCTGTGTATTTAAGCCCTGTGTTTCCCTGTGTTTGTGCTGTGAGTTATCTAGCTGTGTGTTCTGGCTGCGTAAGTGTATTTTGTAGTGATGGCCAAATGAATCTTTCTGAAGCTTGTGTTGAAAAATGGTTCATTACTCAAAGCTTTTCAACATAGTCCTCTCTGGTGACATCTGGTGGCCACAAATATTAAGAGCAGCTTGAATCCACAAAATACCACATTACATATAATATACATATGATAATGTACAACACATTATGGAGTATGCTTCCGCTGTGAGGTCCTGTCTCCATGCACTTATGCAATTAACCGCTAGACGGGTATATTTATAAATAATATTATATTAGGGAAATTTCCCCAGACATATTTTTGACCTGGGGGGAGAATTGATTGTGAGATGGAAAAGGAAAATGCTTATGAACTTGCAAATTAAAAACATGATGCATTTAAAGTAGCCCTTTTTCATTTTTATTTAAGAAGAGAATTTGTTTCACTCTGCAATGGCTGAACCTGTTCCTTTTCATGGAGATAATTTCTCCTGCCTTAAGGGAAATCCCTTCACATGGCACAGAGGAGGCTGGAGTGCAGAGAAACTGGTAGAGATGCAGTTATACAGTCTACCTGGGCCCCACAAACTATCAGATAAAGAGAATAAATAAATCCAATTGCTGCACATTTGGCAGACTAACATTTTCAGATTAATGAAACAATAAAATATATATTTTTACAATATTACATGTAAAGAGTCAAGTGGAAGTTTTTCTAAAGTTATTTAATGATATTTATATTATGGAAGCAGATTTTTGACATTTCACCTTTTTCCCGTTTTCAGATATAATAAACAGGCACAAAACAAAAGCAAACGGCCAGAACACAAAGCTGGAAAACCCACCCGATTTACAAAAATCAACTCAAAATTCCCCCACACAACAGAACCCCCTCCATTCCTCGCTGGCTCCAAATCTCTCAGTAGAAATATCAGTGGTTTGCTATCTGTCACCATCAAAACGCTCCACAAATCCCACAAATGATTCATTTCCTTATAAACCATTGAATCAGACACCGAAGCAGTTAGGTTCTAAATGAAGCTTCGGACGTCACTGATCACGTGACTCTGGCCAAACGAATCAAGCTTCGACACAGTGCTTCTGAAGCAGTGTGTTGATTTTTTTGACACACGCACCGGAGCTTCAGCTTCAAGCGGGCCATCACTAGTATTTTGTATTCCTAGTTTTGTTGCCTTTGGGTCCTTTTCCTGCCTGCACACAGCCGTTCACATAACAGAATGTCTAATATTAAACGGCAGTTTTCAAGGGCAAAACGCTATCCAAACATACTTGGTCCTATATGAAAAAGTAATTGCAGCGAAAACCTGATACCTTGTGTGTCACCTCTGACACCAAGAACTGCAGCAAGCGTTTGGTGCTAGAGGTCACATTTTGAGTTTGTGAAGATATTTAAGGTAGACACACGTAATTAGCGACAAGATGAGTAAGGCTGAAGTTATTGGACTGTATCAAGTTTAATAACTTCATGCATACCAGTGACATCGCGTCGCCAACGAACACCCCAGTGGCTTCAAGCCTAGGCTTAGCCTCTACAGGAGAGGCTTCAGCCATGAAAAGTGTGTCCATCACAAGCCCACCACCATAATCTCAGGCCTTGAAGCAACAATCATGAAAACTAATCTTAACTGAGAGTGTTGGATGTCCTCATTGTTGCAGAGCACATGGACAGCATACTCACCTGGTTCTGTGGGCCAGCAGCACATGTCACACCATCCATCACCCTTGTCATCACATTCAATCTTGGTCTGAGAGACATCTGAAGAGAAACAGAGCAACTTCAGAGAAGAAACTGAAGCTAATCAGTACATGCTTTCAGGACCCCCCTTGTACCAACATTGTGTCCAACAGCCTCCACCACAAAGTTAGCAGATTTACCAACAACGCCTCCTTCCAGTCCAATTCACTTTAATCATGCATTAACAATTCGTTGGCCGCTTAGAACAACATTTAAAATACAAAAAAAACCATAGCTCAGAGTATAAATCCATTTGAGGCAATAATAATTTTAGGTTACCTTACAAAAGTAAAAAGAAAAAAAAAGAAATGGTACATTTTGAAATCCTTTGTTTATGGACAGAATTCTTCCTGTTGGACACAAGAAGCAGACTCCAAAAAAACTGAGACTCTACAGAAGTCTGATTAGGCTGCTGTTCATGCAACTGGCTCACTGTGGTGTGACAATAGTGCGTTTTCTGTAAACAGTTTGCAACAAAAAACTGAATGTCCTTCACGTGATCCAAAGTGGGGCCTTCAAACAGTCCAGCACCTGGAACTGTTAGTGAGAGTCGCGATTCGTTCAATCATTTTTTGAATGCTTCTGTGATCTGATTTCTATCATTGTTTTGTTTTTTTGCTACAACGTCTTAAAACTTTTCTCTATCGTGAAGTACTGAGAACGTTTATATTATAACTTTGGTTATACACAAGTCATTTTATATGTTTGCGTCTTTTTTTTCTTTTCTTTTTTTTTTTTTACCCAATCAGTCGATTTATGGGTGTAACTATAGTTTTGATTAATGGAGTCTGGTGCGGAGCTGTCGTATATGAAGGTTTTGTGCTCCTCTTCCCGGCAGTCCCCTTAATGCACGCTGGGATGGGCTGCAGTGGTTCTTGTTCTTTTTTGCGGCCTTTTTCTTTTTGGGGGGTGGGGTTCAGTGTTCTTGTTGTTAATTTTGTTTTAACCTTTTTTATGCCAGTCCTTTGTATTATTTTTCACCCGTCCATATGTCATACCACCTCTCATTTAGATGTGGGGTAACAATGCTACTGGTTTAGGAACATGTCCTTTGACGTTTACATCCTGGAATTGCAAGGGCTTAGGCAGAGCTTTGAAACGTGGGAAGGTTATGTCACATTTGAAGCATTTATCTTCTGATATCATTTTTCTTCAGGAAACTCATATTCACTCCAATGAACAGAGACGTTTAAGAGCAAATTGGGTGTCGCAGGTTTACCAGTCCACTTTCACATCTAAGGCCAGAGGTGTTGCTATACTCATACGGAAAACCACTCCATTTATATTTGGATCCGTCGTTACTGATCCGGGTGGGAGATTTGTTTTGGTCTCTGGGTCCATTAACTCTTTTCCACTGGTCTTGCTAAATATCTATGCCCCTAATTTTGACTGTCCTGACTTCTTTTCCAAAATATTTGATCTAATTTCTGAATATAATATGTCTAGTATAATAATTGGTGGCGATTTTAACTGCTATTTTGATCCTGTTTTGGATAGATCGTCTACAAAAATAGCCCCCACTACTAGATCCACGGCAGTTTTGAACAATCTGGTAAAATCACACAACATGGGTAGATGTTTGGAGGCTTCAGCATCCAAATGACAGGCAATATTCCTTTTTTTCATCTGTATGTCATAGCTTTACCAGAATAGATTACTTTGTTACAGATTCTAGACTACTACCCAGTATTGTCAGCTCTGCTAATCATCAAATCTTGATTTCTGACCATGCCCCACTTACCATGAAAATAGATTTTAATTTACAGCCTCGAATTTTTAATTGGAAATTCAATTCTACCCTTCTGTCAGACAAAACTTTCTCCACTTATGTTTCCACTGAGATTTCAGATTTCTTAAAACATAACGACAATGGTGAGGTCTCTGATTCCACTCTTTGGGAATCTTTTAAGGCAGCATTGCGTGGCAAGATCATTTCCTTTCAAACATTTTCGAAAAGAACTAGATTAAATCGTCTGTCCCATATTGAGTCTGAATTGTCAACATTAGAGGAGGCACTTCGCCAATCTGATACTGAGGACATATCTAATGCTATTCTGAAACTAAAACTCGAATACAATCATATTTTGGGAACCCAAGTCGGTAGCGATATTATTAAATTGAAACAAAGACACTTTGAGTTGGGAGACAAACCCCATAAATTATTTGCCAGACAATTAAAAGATGTGCAAGCCCATCGCACCACACACATAATTGCCTCCTCTACCGGTGAATTAATTACTGATCCTAAGTTGATTAATGACAGATTTGTTGAGTTTTTCAGCACACTGTATTCTTCTAAATCGAACGCCACTCACTCTGAGCTTTTTAGCTTTCTTAACTCTCTGAGTATTCCAACCCTTACAGAATCTGCCACCCAAGTGCTTGATGCTGATTTCAGCATCACAGAAGTCAAAGCTGCTATCCTTTCTTTCCCTAGCGGTAAAGTCTGCGGACTGGATGAGTTCAACATAGAGCTGGGCGATAGAACGATAAC